CGTGGGGGGGGGGACAAACAGGTGGCATGCCTAAAGAATGAAAAGCAAGTCTCTGACCTGAATTGTTAGAACTCTATAAAATAAAATTTGTTGGAAGTCATATAGAATACATAACACCCATCAGGAAATATAATTTAAAGAGAGAAATTGCACACCGATACACTGAAGCCAATAAACAATACAAAAGATGATTTCATGTAATAAAGGTCATAGTCTTACTGTTACTTGTAGTTCTACAAGTATATACAGACCTCTTACCCCTGGTTCTGCAGGCATGCAGAGCTGGTGCTTGTAGTCCTCCAGGCATGTGCTCTGAACCTGACTCACACTTGCACCTGTCTGCAAGCTTTATGCGTCGGCCGGCCTCTCCTGCTGTTTCTTATGCAGCTTCTCGGCCAATCAGTGCAGTCCGCTTGTGGCCAATCAGTGCAGTCCGCATGTGGCCAATCCTGTGGATCCTCCCTTTTCCTGTCTCTATTTAAACCCAGGGCAGCGAACGGCACGCTGCCCAAGCAATGCTTTCCTAAGCTAGTTGCTCTGTCCCCCATTTGTGATTTACCCTGAATTCCTGGAAGTTTTCCCGTGTACCTTTGGCTTGTCCTTGGAAATCCCTGTCTACTGGCTGCCCTGTGCTTCCCTTTTGTCCTTGGAAATCCCTGTCTACAGGCTGCCCTGTGCTTCCCTTTTGTCCTTGGAAATCCCTGTCTACTGGCTGCCCTGTGCTTCCCTGTTGTCATTGGAAATCCCTGTCTACTGGCTGCCCTGTGCTTCCCTTTTGTCATTGGAAATCCCTGTCTACTGGCTGCCCTGTGCTTTCCTTTTGTCCTTGGAAATCCCTGTCTACAGGCTGCCCTGTGGTCATTGGAAATCCCTGTCTACTGGCTGCCCTGTGCTTCCCTTTTGTCCTTGGAAATCCCTGTCTACAGTCTACGCTGTACTTCGCTTGGTCCCTGGAAGTCTTCAGCCTGTCCCTAACCTTTAATTTGTACCCTGTACCTGTTAGGTGAGTTGGGTGGACCTAGGGATTGTGACCTGGGGTCAGCACGCAGCCAAGCCCATCTCCACCATCAGGAGCTCTGGCGAATACCGGCTGGCTCTTAGATTCCACATCCTGGGGGACCCCATGCCACCTACTCAGCATTGCAGCACCCTGCCTCGTATTTAAACTTCCAGCTTTAGCTGACTTCCACTGCCTCATTCAGTTCCTCTGCTTGTACTCCACCTCTGGGAGTCGTCAGCCTACACTGCTTGGACCTTTTTCTCTGAGGGTCCCTGCCAGTGTAGTGGAAAGGGTCCATATACCGGACTCCAGTTCATACCCGTGAGTCCCAATCCATGACACTTACCTGTAAGGCAGCTTTGGAATGGATTTCTACTAATGTCTCTGAGGCATTAAGCCAGAAGATGCCACAGGTGTATGATGGTTTGTGTGCCAGCAGTAAAGGTACAGATCCATATGTGCCCATTTTATCATAGACACTGTATCCAAACACATCCAAATTGTAGAGCCGGTATGCCTCATTTTCTCTACAGTGAGAAAGAAAGCAGAAGTCATTTTGAACTGTGCAATGCAAGTAAAAATAGATTTATATGCACCAACCTAAGTTTGTCAGAGCAAAACTGTCATCCCTTTTTTGTCTAGGATCCCTGCATGCACTAAGGCCTTGTTCACACCTGGGCGTTTTACAGCGCGTTCCTACGCGCTGTAAAACGCTCAACTTGTGAAAACCAATAATTGCCTATGGGCATGGGTCCCACCTGGGCGTTTTACAGCGTGTAGAAACGCGCTGAAAAACGCCCTACGCCCAAAGTACAGGAGCTTCTTTGGGGCGTATTTGCCGTGCGTATCCATTAGGATACAGCCGAAAAGCCCTCGGAAACGCGCATTTGACGCGCGTTTCTTTTACTGGCGGCAAACGCGCATATTCTGTACTCCCAGGTGTGAACCCAGCCTAACGTGGTCGGGGGTTTTTTGCACTCTTTGAGCCTTTGCAAAAAGCAGCGGGATCCTCACCCCACTATTTCATACAGTCCTTGGCAAACTACCAAAATTCAGTTACAATGGCTGATCTAAGGAAGTGCTTTATCGGTGTATTTGTGCTGCGATGCTGGATTTCACCAACAGGTATCTCCAAAGAAGAAATGGAAATATATGTTGTAATCACAGTAAAGTCTATGTAAAATGTAAGCCCCCTTTAATGTCAGATAGCAGACAATGCAATCAGCAATATGCTTTACTACCTGCCACTGTTCTATACGGCGATGTTCCTGTATTCACATCAAATAAAAACTCAAAAGTTATTCTTGGCTTTGCCAAGTGAGTTGCTATTTAACAACATGCAGAGCAACAACTTTAAAAGGAACAATCTGATGATCAAAAATAAATTGTGACACTCCAATATATGTTCTGTACTTGAAGGCAGCATTCTGATGTCTTTACTGAATACCCCTTGATTCATTTTTTCAATTACTATTGTAGTAGAGAGAGAACATGGCCCTCACACCAACCAAGGGATACATTTTGTCTAGACTGCCTAACACTCCCTGCCATCAACTTTTTCCATCTTAAAGTATCTAAGCCCTAGAACAGAAATGTTATATAATGCAGCTTACCAGTCCTTAGATGTGATGGCTGCATTAGTTTACATTTTTCAGAATTTTCTCCTGATGATCCCACCAGTAACAAACTTTCTGTCCTAGGGTGACAATTCTCACTCATTCCACTGCAACTATGGAGGAGCATCACTGTCACCCTATGACAGGAAGTATGTTAGGACTACAGAACTATTTTCCCCTTTCAAAAGATAAAGGGAGATGTTCTGAAGTTCACAGTGGTAACCTGAGCAGGGCTAATAACACTTCTTGGGATTTCAGTTCAGACAGTCACTAGATTTCTGGAAGATTCAACAATTTTTCTGTACTTGCAGTGTTTATATAGAGATGAACCATGGGAAAATATGCATGTATTGGAGAGATACACAGAATATAGTTTTATTTTGGCCATGCAAATACTTAAATATTACTAAGAATTGCAATAAATAACAACTGCAGTGTGTGGATTATGATTTTGTAAATTGATTTGTGTCAGAGAGCTACATGTCTCTATGGGTTTGCTGCCAGAGGTTATTTAGGTCTGCTGAATCTCTTAAACATCCTGATTGTTTTCCTGCTTACCCTGTATCTTTGAGGCTGTGGACATCAGCATGTTCTGGCAGTCCGTAAACATTTTCAAACCCGTACAAGGTAAAATCCAGCCCCACAGAAGAGGGACCTGAGCAGATATCAAATAAGATAAACTGTACCACAAACCACATTAATGAAAAAAAAATGAGTGCCTCTGACTTACCATTGGCTTTAATGTCTTCAAAATCTCCAAACTTTTCTTTCCAGAGTCCAAACGCATCCTGCTAAAAACAAAAGCATAATATTTTAGGCCAGAGCAAAGGAGGCTTTTTAACTAAACCCAATTAAATCCCTCCTATAACAATACTACAATAGAGTTACTAACTTGGAGCTATTATGTGTAAGTCAGATGTGCTCCAGGCCAGTAGCAAAATAAGTGTTGGGGGGGATTCGGATGATGGCTCTGGAGCTTGCAACTTATAAAACAAAGTGGCCATGACAGCTCCCATATTTGTGTCCTGGCAGGTGCTTAGTGACTGACTGCTTGGCAACCCAGTGCTGTTTCATGGGGACAGAGACAAAATCCTTAGCCCTATGTAAGCTCCAGGTCACAATGTATAGTTTATGCAGAGCTTCTTTGCTTCTGTAGAATGGTAAGTATACGCAGCTGTGAGTGAAGCTTTACAGGCAAAGCATAGGTTCACATTATGTATTAAGCTTCTCCTCTGCATTACTCCCACAATACAATTCACAGGTCAAACTATTTTTTGCCACACTTTAGTAAGTAGGCTTCCCTCTAATTTGTACTGTTTCCCTCCAAGTACCTTCCCATCCAAAATCTTGGTCTTATAGTAACGAAAGACCACCTAAATCTTGTTACATTCCCTCTTTCTAAAAACTCTCTACAATTTATTTTTGTATGATTGTTTGTTTCCAAATTAACCATTTTGGTTCTGTAATAAATCTAAACAGGGATTTCTCTATCTCTGTGATAATTATGCAAATCTCTCTGTCCCTATGGCAATGATCCCTTAATGAAAATGGCAATGGTTCCATGACCAATCACTTCATTACCATGACAAAAGGTCTGTTAGCCCCATGTCTATATTGCCATGGATAATTGTCTAACTGGCATGATCAACCCTTAATCACCCTTGTAATTGGGGCTAATCCTTCAGTAATCATGTTGATAGGGCTAATTTTCTTCACTGCTGATCCCTCTACTATCCCAGCAATGTAGGTGATACTTCAGTAACAATAGTAACATGGCTGATCCCTCTGTTGCCATTCACAATGTGGTTTAACTCTACCATGGCAATGTGTCCAATCACACCATTGTATTGCCATGGCAATGAGATTGATCTCTTTGTTTCCATGGCAGTACCACAGTGAGCAATCTATTCATCAGCATGTCTACATGGCTAATCCCTCTGTCGCCCTTCCTATGGGGCTAGTCCATCACAATGACAACTGAGCAGATCTCACAACTGCAACAGAAGTGAGGTTGATTACTCTGCCATCACATCAACTACTAGTTACCATACCAAAACTGATCCTTTTGTCACTATGACAACAGGGCCAGTCCCTCGGCTGTCATCCCACTGTGACCATGGCAACATGACTGTCACTTCCAACAAATGGCAGTATGGATTGATCCTTTCATCCAAATGCCAACATGGCCATTCACGTCATATAGGGCTCATTCATTTGCCACCTCAGTTGCTATAACAGGTCAACTAGGTTAATTAGTCTGTTACAATGACTAATCTGTTGCCAAGACAACTGTACCATGCACAAACCTTCCATCACCATGGCAACAGAGTGAATCCATTTTTAGCACTTGCAATAGGGCCAATCCTTCTTTGCTATGGCAACAGGGCAGATCTCTCCAATACTATGGCGATAGGGCCGATCCCTCAGGAACAATGGTGCTGTGGCCAATACAACTGTCATCATGGCAATTGTGCTGTCACCAAACCTTCAATGATATGGCAATGTGACTGATTCTTCTGTAAATATGGACACAGGACCAATCACTTTACTACAATAGCAATGGTGCCAATCACTCCATATCCACAGTGCTGACCTTTCCATCACCAGTGTTAAGTGGTTGATCCCGCCAATTCAGTGGCGATTAAGTTAATCCCACCATTAGAACAAAAAACAAAGAGATTCCCCAGAAGGAAAGAATACCCAGGAAGACAAAAAGATTGTCAGGGAAAAACATACGGGCAGGGACAAAGGTATAGAAAGAGAGGTAGGAAATCACAGAAAGGATGGGGTAACCACCAGACTGAGAGGAAGACGGAATTGAGTCCAGACCCTCCACAGGGGGAGTGGGAGGAGAGGGAAGGAAATTAAGTTATTAATTTAACAGACTTCCCTCTAGGTATAGATCATATTAACCTCCTTAAAAAAGGCTTATCTTTTTCCCCTGTGGAGGGGATGGATGAGTTCACAATCTTCAAGGACTTGAACTTATATCTGCGAAAGGTGTACCTGAGATACTTATATACTAACAAAGAGGAATTATTGGCAGAACAAGTAGATGCCACAACAACGGATGTGGATAAACAAGCCCTTGACGATCTGAATGCATTGTTGGAAGAAAATTTAGAGGAGGAAAATGAACAACAGGAACCCCCTATTGAGATAAGAAGGACCCATTTATGTAATAAATCACAAACTATGCCAACCCTCACCAATAACCGACACCTGAGCCTCTTTAAGGACCTAGTACAAAAGGGACCTCAAATTAACTAATTGGTCAAGGAAAGGAGAGAACAACCTTTCCAAATCAGGGCCCTACAGGAGAAAACGGACTTAATTATCAAAATGAGTGATAAAGGTTGGAATGTTGTTCTATTACCAGAGGATATGTATGTTAGAGAGGTTAAGCGTTTACTCTCAGATAGACAAACTTATGAGAAATTAAAAAGCTCTCCTTTTCAGGAGTTAATACTACAATTTAATTTTAAATTGGATTTGGCCAAAGAGGTGGGTCTTCGTTCCACCAAGGAGTTTAAATTCTTAAAAACCAAAGAGTACAACATTCCCACCTTTTACATCATACCAAAGATACACAAAAATAAATCAAATCCCCCAGGCAGACCTATAGTGTCAGCGGTAGGTGGCCCATTAGAGAACCTGGGAAAATATCTAGACACCTTACTTAAAGATTTGGTTTTCGAATTGCCCTCCTATGTTAAGGACAGGGGGGTTGTGCTTCGTAAGCTAAATAGGATGAAGATTGGGAAGGGATGCTTCTTGGTGGGGATAGATGTAGAGTCTTTGTATACCTCTATTCCCCACCAATGTGGATTGAGGGCCGTACATTACTTCCTCACACAACATTGCCCACTAGCAGCACCCCAGAATGAATTTCTGGGGGAGCTCTTGGAGTTCGCCCTTAAAAAACAACTATTTTCAATTTAATGGCCAATACTATAGACAAATTAAGGGGACCTCAATGGTAGCCCCTTGGGCACCAGCCTATGCCTGTCTTCACTTAGGTCTATGGGAAACGGAGGATGTATATGTCAATCATTTGTACCTAAGCCATACGAGACTCTGGCTTAGGTACATAGATGATGTCATTATGATATGGGAGGGCTCACAGGAAAGCTTGGAAATCTTCATCCAGGAGTTAAATATAAATAATAAAATTATACGTTTAACATATATGATGAGTCAATATGAGATTCCCTTTTTGGACTTACGATTAAGAATTAAAAATGAGGAATTGATTACCAGTCCTTTCAGAAAGGCAACGGCGGCAAACACCATCCTACATGCTACAAGCCATCACCCAAAATCACTAATACAATGCATACCCACAGGCCAATTCCTACGGGTTAAACGTAATTGCTCATTGACATCTGATCTTAAAAAAAGAGTCCAACGAAATGTACAAAAGATTTAGAGACAGAGGTTATTCCCATAGAACCTTGAGGAATAGTAGAGCAAAAGTAAATAAAAAATCAAGAACACAGATCCTCGGAGAGGATGGAAAAATAAAAGAAAAAAAGAACTTTGAGGGCCCTGTTCGGATGATAACCCAGTATGGTTCACAATGGAAGGAATTGAGAAAAATACTGAGAAAACATTGGCACATACTACACTTAAATCCAGTTTTGGGAGAAATAGTAGGTCTATGCCCACAGTTGGTGGCCCGCAAAGCTCGCAATTTGCGAGACCATCTAGTCTCCTTCGAGTACCAATCCAGCACAAGGGAGACATGCCTGGGTGAAGGGAGAACTAAAACTGTGGGCATGTACCCATGTGGGAGGTGCCAAATTTGTCCATATGTGGAAAGAAGTAAGGTATTCCACACTAGTGACGGTGGGAGAAGTTACAATATAAAACAATTTATCAACTGCACAACTAGCAAGGTAATTTATCAATTAGGATGCCCTTGTGGCAAATATTATGTCGGCAAGACTAAACGTCAACTACGGGTGAGAATGGGTGAACACCTGAGGGATATCAAAAACTATAGTAAGAAAATGGAACAAATTGATAGTCCCATCGCTCAACATTTTTTTTGCATTACAATGGAAACCCAGAAGGTCTCAAAATAAAAGGGATTTATGTACTGAACCTATCAGCAAGAAGAGGGGATTTTCGATAAAATCCTCAAACAAAAAGAAAAAATGTGGATGTATAAACTGGACACTTTATCCCCAAAAGGTCTAAATATGGAATTTAATTTACAGGTCTGTCAAAAACCTAATATGTCACACTGAACCAATTTATACCCCACATTGATACATGACTATGTAATCCCAAAATATTGAAACATAGAGTCGAATCCCTGATGACAGTGATAACAAGCCACACTCTGCCATGTATTTGTAACATAAAGCTTGTTCTCTGATATTAGTAGCAATTAATTACAATCTGAATTATATCTATGATACAGGGTTTATTCCCTGATGACAGTAGCAACAAACTATTGTCTGAATTGTATTGGTTTCTGTTTTTTAAAATGTTATAAAGGAATGTATGGAGAATGAGAAAAAAATTTGTATTTCATTTACCAGATCTATAATTCCGATATATTGCTCGGAAGGGGTTAATAAAAAGAGGGGTTTAAAATACCCTTTAAAAAGGTAACACCCTCACCCTATGATCATGTCCTGACGAAGCCCCAGGAGGAGGGGCCAAACGCGTCGACGTTTTGTACCTGTCTGGGCCATCTTGGACTACCAGGGAGCACATTGAGATGACACCGTTATGAATCTGGAGCGATAATACAACAATTTGACAACCTACTTGATGT